TCTGGGGTGGCCTGACCCACCTTCCCCTCGGTGATGCCGGGTGGTGCCTCGCCGACGGTGCTGCCACGGTTGGAAGGATGGACGACGAGGCGATGGTCATCATCGAGGACCTCATGGAAGGTGAGGACAAGGAGGAGGGTGAAGATGGCGTCGAAGACGCACGGCCGGTGAAGCCGCGTGGGCGTTCACGCCGTCGCCCACAACGCGTGGGCGTCCACGCCTGCACTGCAACAACACGGCCGTCAACACCGCCACCGGTAGCCACCTCTCCGATGATGATCGCATGCTCGGCAGGTCCTCGTTGTCCTCCCTCTCCCGTATGCCCTACCTTTCTTCCCTCCCATCATCGGGTGGTGGAGTAAGTTCAACGTTGGGAAGAAGACCCTGCGCGAGCAACTCCGACAATGAACTTGCCTTCGCCACACGCTTGTCGTGCACTGGACGCTCTCGACGGGCTCTCTGGCCACACCACCGCCTCCGGTGGGGGCTCCAGACGCAAACTGAACACGGGCCACCGTGGCGGGTAACTACTTGGCGGTACGCTGCCAAGAAGCGGTGTCATCGGCGTGGGACCCGTCGCCCGATGGCGGTGAGAATCCACCATTGTAGGTCGCGCGAGTGCCGGCATTAACGTCGCCTTAGGTCCGCAGCGGCGGCGGCAAGAGTCCCGATGCACCAGCACCTCGGCCCTGCGGTGTAGAGCGTCGATGCACGACATGTCTCGGCGGCCCGGTCGGGGGCCCAGCGTCGTCTTGCGATGGATTCCAAATCGTCAAGAGTCGCCGCCAATCGCAACATGGTGCGGGAGAACGGCGCCCAAATGCCACCGCCTCGTCCCCCACCGGATCTTGTGGGTCTCGCTTCAAGCGCCTCGCGCAGACCATGTCGCCGCTTCGTCGCGCTCCCGGTCCCATTACCTCCACTGTTGGGGACCGGTCGCCGACCAAGGCTATGCAAGCAAGGTCGTTTGCCATTTGTGCATGCCCTGCTACGCGCAGAGGTCAGGTTAGTCGTGGTGCCCCAAAAACACATTGCCATAGACAGAGCGGTAGCGGCCCCAATAGGCAGCCCGAGGAGGTCGTGCGCCCACGACGAGCCATGACTTCGCCACGACGGACCACGTGACCCAACGAGCAGCTGGGGCGTCACGTCACCACGACGACAGCGCGTCCCAAAAGGCAATCGGGGCGTTGCAAGGTGCCAAGCCATGTATCAACACCATCGCCGCCTACTCACGAACGACAATCAACAGCGTCGCCACGGCTCGCCAACTCAACACCACGATAACACGCCATCGCAGATCACCACCACCGGGCGACACCGATTGCTGCCCCAAGGTCAAGGTCCTCATCATCTCGAGGAACGCGGAGCTCACCACGGCTGAAGCGGACCTCTCCCTTGTTCTCATCGCGCTCGTGGGTGCGAATCGGCCGACCGTCTTTGCCGGCGGAGGTCCGGATCACCTTTCCTCGGTGTTCCACAGGTCGGCGTGACCACCATCATCCCCTAGCTCGGGGACCTCATGCACATGAGCGTTAGCAAGTTGGGCGTCATGGCTCGTCGTGTGAGGTAGTTCGACTTGAGGCTAAGGCAGACTTCGAACCTTGGGGCCAATCGATGCCTCTGCCATACCCCGCGACAGACATGACATTCGACCCAATGTTGGTTGAAGCGGCAATCCAAGACCATGATCTGCCCTCCGACCGTCGCTCTGCTTCAGAACCAGGCCATGTGGACATGGTCACCATCATGGTCGACGACCGTCCTAGCGATATCCAGCCGGTCTTGACTTCGCCTAGGGAAATGGGGATGCTGGGCGCGCCGAGGGACTCCTCGAGCGATGACGACGCGGGTTAGCCGATGTCGCCAGGACCTGTACCCCCTCCGCTTCATGAAACGCTAGAGGCGCGGCTTTGCCTTCCGTTGTAGACACCCCTCATCCGCCGTCCGCCTAGGCTGCGCAGACCCAGGACGCCAGTCTCCGTTCTGTCGCTGCGGCGCAGCGACCACCTTGCTGCGAAGCCACGTGAGGCGCGCTCCACCAAGCAGGCTCAGTGCGTGCTAAAGCAGAAGCTGGGAGTCGTGGCAAGCTCGCCCAACGTCGACTCTGAGACGGTGCGCAAGTATAAATCAACCTTCAAGCGCCACTATCGGCCTCCAAGCGTGAGGGCGCTGCAACTTCTTTTTCGGTGGGAATTTGACCGGAGGCCATGAACTTGGATATAGTCGTGATAGAGCGAGGTTTGAGGTGGATCCTTATCTTAGTCGCAAAATAGTATCTTGTGTAATCACAACCACGTGCAAAAAAGTGTGAGAGGTGTGTGTTTGTGGGTTTCGATAATCTTTGGATTACCATAACTTGATTGTTCTGTAACAAAACTTTCTACTCCTGCTTAATGAAAAACGTGCCAAGGCACGATCTCGAAAAAAAAATGATTCCAATAGTGAATTTTATTATTGTGGCGAAACAATTTGTTCATTTTATATTCAATTTTGGATTACACGGTAGGTTATATAGTGGTTTGACTCCATCAATGCATGACATCTCAAGTCCTCCACTACCTTCAGATAAGTCTCTCAAACATAATAAATGATATATATAAACCTGCTTATATAATCTCAAAGACATGAAACAAATTTGATGAGTTGTAAATCACATATCACAAGGCTGAACACACCAGCTATTTTATTCAGCAAAACCTAATTAAATGTCACATGTTAATTAATCAATCATGAAACCAAAGATTGGATTAGCTTTTCCAAATTCATGTAGGACGACCCTCCCTTCTCTAATGCTCCATTTGCCTTCGCCTTGAGCTCCTGAGTCTTCCTCCTCCTCTGCTCCCCTTCGTCACCCAGATCCATCAGCCTCTCCAAAGCCTTCATCACTTGTTCCATACCCACCTCCGCCTCGACATCCGCTCTGCTTCCGTTGAGCTTACCAGCACTGAGGACATTTTCCGTTGGCTTTGTCACGCCTACAGATACCCCAACATCAAGCACGTCCACGATAAGCCTCTCATTGAGGAAACTGCTCGGCGAAAAGCGGCCAAGTTGCCATGGGCATGCCGGCGGGGCCTCCAGAGTCGAGCCCCACCCACAGTGCGTGAGGAAGCCGCCGACGGCGCGGTGACCAGGATGGGGACCTGGGAGCCCAGCCTCGCACTACCAAGCACTTGTTGCTGTCGAAGCTCTCACGAAACCACTTCTTGACGTCGTCGGGCATGGAGTCGGCGCCCTTGACGACCCATACCACAGGCCAACGGCACGATGCTAGTGCAATGCCTAGCTGCATGACTTGCGCCGGTGGCATGCACCTGGCGCTGCCAAAGCTGACGTGCACCACGGATTTGGACTCCTTGGTGTCCAGCCACTCCATAACCCGCCTGGCATCGCCTGTCATGGCCTGCGGATCGAGATGACGTACACCACGGACTTGGACTGCTTGGTGTCAGTTTTTGTGTTGGTACTGTGGTAACGGGTTTTATTCAGATAAAACTCTACGTAACTCTCTGTTTCTCTCTTCGTAATTAACCAGCCACACCAAATCTGCCGATGTGTCATTGTATTAAATGCAAATAAAACAAGATGCTGCTTAGGCCAGTCTTAGTAAGAACTTTCATGGCATTGTTTTTAAGTCATATAGAATGAGATTATAATAATTTATATCATATATTCATGTATTATAATAATCTAAATTATATAACCACTCGATTTTTATCAATTCTTCTATTTTTTAAGGAAAGGAAATTTTATCCCGGACTCTGCATGAGTTTTACCTATAATCTCCTACTAAAAGGTAAAACCCCACCCCGACACAGGGAGGTTTATTCCTTCTTCGATAACGGATTACAATCCTAAAACACCCCTTTATAGATTAAGAGCACTTGCCAACAATAATAAAACCAATCTACTAAAAATCCCCCCTTAATTCCTCCTTTCCAAATCAGCCGAGTCCTAGCCACGGCTTGGGCTGGGGGCTTGTTTGCAGCGACACCGGTACTGGCGTCCCAGAAACGAATCCCCAACATACCTATAATTTTTAAAGATCTCCTAAAAGAAACAAACTCCTAAATAAAGCAGACAACCCTCTCTTCCCTATCCCCAATGAAATATAGGAGACAGTGCTCTCTTAGAGCATCTCCAAGAGTATACAATATTTTCTTTCCAAAAACATGGAGTTTTAAAACTCATAAAAAAGTATTGGAAGAAATAAAGAAGCCCATCTCCAAAAGTTTCTAATAATTCACTCCTAAATATATAAGACAATTTTACATCAGAAATCTATACTATTTCTAAATTATCCTAACCACTTTTATATAATTTTTTTTCTCTCTCGTACATTTACGTCATGAACTCTTTCCTACTCTTTATTCTTTCCATGTCCTTCCACCTTTAGATTGTCCGACAAACACGTGCAGGGAGAGAAGATATGCACGACTCGAAGGCGCGTAACATTACGCGAAACAAGGTAACTTTTCTCAAGTTCGAAAAGATTAGATGATGGATTATGAGTTGTTGGAGAGAGATTTTTTCTCATCTTGCTAAAAACCAAGGATTAGAAAGGGATTTAGAAACTCTTATTCTAATTTTATTTTAAAATGTTCTCCTAAAACAACTTATATTATATGAGATGCAATATACGAGATCTGGTAGACATGCTATTATGTCGAAACCAAACGAGCCCTGTATTCTAGGAGTAACTTTGCTGTAACTTCAAATTGCTTTTGTACGGCAACCGTAATTATTCCAACAGTGAATTTTATTATTGTGGCAAAACAATTCTGTTGTTCTTTGATATTCAATTTTGGATTACACGGTAGGTTATATAGTGGTTTGACTCCATCACTGCATCACATCTCAAGTCCTCCACCACTACCTTCAGATAAGTCTCTCAAACATAATAAATGATATAAACCTGCTATTTTATTCACAAGGCTGTACACACCAGCTATTTTATTCAGCAAAACCTAATAAAATGCCACATCTTAATTAATCAGTCATGAAACCAAAGATTGGATTAGCTTCTCCAAATTCATGTAGGAGGACCCACCCTTCTCTAATGCTCTATTTGCCTTCGTCTTGAGCTCCTGAGCCTTCCTCCTCCTCTGCTCCCCTTCGTCACCCTCATCCATCAACCTCTCCAAAGTCTTCATCACTTGTTCCATACCCACCTCCACCTCTATATCCGCTCTGCTTCCGTTGAGCTTACCAGCACTGAGGACATTTTCCGTTGGCTTTGTCACGCCTACAGATACCCCAACACCAAGCACGTCCACGATAAGCCTCTCATTGAGAAACTGCTCGGCGAAAAGCGGCCAAGTTGCCACGGGCATGCCGGCGGCAATGGCCTCCAGAGTCGAGCCCCACCCACAGTGCGTGAGGAAGCCGCCGACGGCGCGGTGAGCCAGGATGGCGACCTGGGGAGCCCAGCCTCGCACTACCAAGCACTTGTTGCTGTCGAAGCTCTCACGAAACCACTTCTTGACGTCGTCGGGCATGGAGTCGGCGCCCTTGACGACCCATACCACAGGCCAACGGCACGATGCTAGTGCCATGCCTAGCTGCATGACCTGCGCCGGTGGCATGCACCCGGCGCTGCCAAAGCTGACGTACACCACGGACTTGGACTCCTTGGTGTCCAGCCACTCCATAACCCGCCTGGCATCGCCTGTCATGGCCTGTGGATCGACATGAGGTGACCGGAACAGCGAAACGGGGCCAACGGCGACGACATTTTTGCCGGTCGCCTCCGCGAGAAGCGCGCAGGAGCCGTGCTCCAGCTCATCGAAGCTGTTCACGACCACGCCGTCCACGGCCACGTCGAACTCCGTATCTCCTGCATCGTCCCACAGCCCATGGTCGTCGATGGCGCGAAATGCGGCGGTAGCTGCGAACGTGATACCCTGCACTCGAACGCCGGGAGGGCAGGGATGTTGACGAGCTCATCCGCTGACGAAACCGCCTCGTGCGGCCTGTGCTTGTAGAGGTACTCGATGCAGAGCAGCGCGAACGCGCCGAAGCCGTGGAAGACGTAGCACGGCACGCCGAGCTCGCGCCCCAGGCCGAGCGCCCACGAGTGGCACATCCCGGCGACGACGCAGCTCGGTCGTCGGCGCAGCCGCAGCATCGCCTCGCTGCCGCGGCAGTAGCGCGCCACGGCCTCGCCGAACTGTTTGTTGGCAGCGAAGAAGCGCGGCACGTCGCCGGGAGACCGGAGGAGGTCCAGCCTCTCGCAGCCGTCAGGCAGGCCGGCCTCCGCCGCTGGGAACGGGATTGCGGTGACCGTGATCGCGCCATGCGGCGGCGTCGCGAGGTCTTCCACACGGCTCTGCACGAGTGGCGCGTTGGCGGGCGTCGTGATGATGGTGACCGCCGCGCCGTGGCAGGCTAGGAGGCGGCCGATGTCGGTCATCGGGATGATGTGGCTGATGGTTCCTTGCCACGGAACGAGCACGAAGTGTGGCTCCGCTGCTGCTCTCTCCATTTCCTTCCGATCTCGCTCTCTCGATGCAAATGGTGTGGCCTTTCTTGTTTCCTGTGCAGAGCTGTTGGGCTGTCAGCGTTTGTTATATCTACTCCTGTATATATATGCAAAGCCATGTGAGAGTGTGACCATGTAAACTGGGTATGCTTGGCAGCTACTCCTACCTGGTGGAGCTAGTGGTGTCGAGTGTCGACACGATGACAGGTGCATGTAGGAGTTGGACTTTTGCTAGGATGAGCTGTGTGCGTCTGCCTATAGTTCCTGTACGATTTCTGGTGTAAGCAAAAAATATCCGAGAGGCCTGGTAAGACCGGTAGGATGATTAAACTTTCACTACAGGAACTGATGGATTCCCCGAGTGCCAGTTGCACTCGGGGAAGGCCCAGTTGCACTTGGAGAAGCCTTCCCCGAGTGCAACACTCGGGGAAGAGCCTCCGGCTAATCCTCTCACGGGAAAGTCGCCTTCCCCGAGTGTCAAAAATCGTGCACTCGGGGAAGACTTTGCCGAGTGCCGTCTTCGCACTTTCGGGAAGACTTGACGCCGTTATTGTGACCGACGTTATTTTTTTAATTTTCTTCCCCGAGTGCAACACTCAGGAAAGATTTTTGAATTTTTTTTAAATACTCTTTGCCGAGTGCCGCAGTTCAGGCACTCGGGGAAGAAATTTGTTTTTTTTTTTAAAATCCCTCTTCCCCGAGTGCCACATCACATGCACTCGGGGAAGCCACCTCTAAAATTCTTTTTTTTTTGTTTTTTGCTTTTCCATGTAAACAACAAAGCATATATATATATATCACAAACCACAAATCAACACCAATATGTCACAAAACCACATTTATATATCACAAACGACCAAATTTGTCCGAAATCCACAATATATTACAAACCACACGTTCAAAAGTACACACTATTCCAAGTTCACAAGTTCAATACAAAAAAACGACTCCGAAGGCGGCTCACAAGCGATCGTGAGGGGTGGGGCCTTGAGCGTGCGATCCCGGCGACGGTCCGGTGGGGATGGCCCGACGTGCGATGCAGGCGACCCTTCGACATGGTTCGACGCCCCACCCGATTGATGCTGCAAAAAGAGAGGAGATTGCACATGAGTGACAAGATAAAATGTAAGGAGTGTAAAGAAAAGTTGAAAATTTGGCAGCACCTCCCACCGCGGAGGTTTCCAAAACTCAAGAAGAAAAAGCGTAAGCGAAAGGCCGACAACCACATTCGACACGAAGGCCAACACATCAACAAATCCGCACGAATCTTTGACACATCAACAAATCCGCACACGAAGGCCATCACTAGGTTTGACACTAAGCATGAGCAAAGAAAGTAAAACATCCGTACTCATACTCACCGGAGTAGACTCTCGGCGATATGGTGGTGGTGGTGCAAGCAGCTCTGCTGGGATCTCCCAACCTTGTTTCTGCCCAAGTTATTGCACGAACTTGAGCAAACCATCTTGCTGGGCCTCCAAAGCTTGTACCCTAGGTGCTCCGATTCCCCTGCGACAGGTCCTGCTCTGCAAAAGAAGAAAAACAGCACTATAAGTACAAAATTTGGCGAGAACCTCCCACGGATGGGAGGTTTCGATAACTCAAGAAAAAACCGTCGGCACGATGGCCGGCGTCCACATTTGGGGCACGATGGCCCACACGTCCCACAATTCCGCACGAAGGCCGTCAACACATAAACGGGCGCGATGGCCGACAACCGTAACGCAGGACGGTTCGTATACCTTGGGCGTTGGCGGGCGTGCACGCGGAGAGAAGAAGACGCCGACAGCGGGACGGACGGCGGCGGCGGGCACCTCCTCCCTTCTTCTTCCTCCTTCTCCTCCCCTTCCTTCTTCTTCTCTTCTTCTTCCTCCTTCCTCCTCCTTCCTCCACCTACCTCCTCCTTCTCTTGCTCCTGACCAGCGCAGGTCCGGGCTCCACACAGACGGGCGTGACGACGGACAGGGGCAGGCGGCTTGCCTCGGGGCCAGCCACGGGGGCGAGGAGGGGCGCGCCTGGCTGGAGCCAGGCCTCGGCGCGAAGGGACAAGGCGCGCCAGGCCAGGCCGCGCCACCATCTCTCGGGCTAGGCGCCACGGGCTGGATTCTGGGGGGTATGGGCTCTGGTCTTGGGCCAAGAGGCTGCTGCCAGGGCTCTCTGGGGGCTGTGGGTGCGCAGTGGCGTTAGGCAGTGGCCAGGAGGCAGAAGCGCCAATGTGTGGCAGAGGAGGTGGCAAGGGCGGCGGGGTAGCGCCTTGGGGTGGGCGTGGCCGGGTGTGGGGTGCTCGGTTAGGTTTTAGATAAGGCTCTTGGGCCTTTTTTAAAGTCTTCCCAGTGCCCTGTCCTAGCTTTACTCGGAAAGGGTTCTTTCGAGTGCCGTGGAAGGCACTCGGGGAAGAATTTTTGTTTTTTTGTTTTTTACCTCATTTTTTTGTGAGGGCCTTCCCACGTTATTTAAAAGCTGTCGGTTCAAATTTGGGACAATTTTGACTTTTGTATTATATTTCGTTAGTTTTTTCGTTTAGAGTTGAATTTTTTGCATACTTGAATTTGAACATGAAATAATTGAATTTGGTGATTAAAAATTATAGTAATGATATTTGGTGTATGTTGATGCCTTATCCGGGAACTACGCATGAAATGTCGAGCATCTTGTTGACGTAACATGACCAACAACTTACGGAAAAGCGTATTTAAATTATATAAAATCGAGCGAAGTCCGAAAATCACGAAAACTTATGCAAATGCGTCGTGTTATCGCATGTAGAGGCTATGATAAAAAATCGAGAAGGTTTCAACGAAGTTGCGACGTTGGATGCCTAAAACCCAGACATCTCCGCATGTGATCACACGACGCCCAGACAAGTTTGGGTTTTAGGCATCCGACGTCTGGGTTTTAGGCATCAGACAACTTGCGGGAAATGCGGAGATGTCTGGGTTTTAGGCATCCGACATTACAACTTCATCGAAACCTTCTCGATTTTTTATCATAGCCTCTACATGCGATAACACGACGCCCAGACAAGTTTCATGATTTTCGGACTTCGTTCGGATTTTATATAATTTAAATACACTTTTTCCGCAAGTTGTTCGTCATGTTACGTCAACAAGATGCTCGACATTTCATGCGAGTTCCTGGATAAGGCATCAACATACACCAAATATCATTAATATAATTTTTTTAATCACCAAATTCCATTATTTCATGCACCTGCAGTTCAAATTCGAAGTATGCAAAAAAATTCAACGAAACGAAAAAAACTAACGAAATATAACACAAAAAGTCAAAATTGTCCCAAATTTGAACAGGCAGTTTTAAATAATGTGGGAAGGCCTCACAAAAAAAATGAGGTAAAAAAAAACAAAAAAAACAAAAATTCTTCCCCGAGTGTCAGGGAAGGCACTCGGGGAAGAGGCCCTTTCCCGAGTGCCAGGACAGGGCACTCGGGAAGCAAGCTTCCCCGAGTGTCCTGCTCGACACTTTCGGAAAACCTCTTCCCGAGTGCCTTCCCGGCACTCGGGGAAGAATTTTTGTTTTTTAAGTTTTAACAACAGTGTGGGCGGGTGAACCGTCAAGTAACATGTTTCTTTGTCGAGTGCGATCTTCCCGAGTGTTGCACTTTCGGGAAGAGGGCCTTTGCCGAGTGCTACTCTTTACCGAGTGCCAGGATCTCTGCGGCACTCGGAAAAACCTCTCTTCCCCGAGTGCAACACTAGGGGAAGATTCTCTTTCCCGAGTACCCGATTTTTGGCACTCGGGGAAGCCAGACACACTCGGAGAATTTTGCCTTTGCCATAGTGTTTGGCCAAATTTTAATCAAAATTTACAAATATTATCCAATGCCCGTCAAAACCGGCCGAAATCAGACAATACCAGAGGGGACCAGTGGGACCGATATTGGCCGGTTTACGCCGATTTGCGGCCGGTATTGTGAACTGTAGACACGATAACAAGTCCAAATAAAGCTAGCTTCTTATGTTGACTACTCCTGCGGTGGACTTTTTCTCTGCTGCGGCTGACTTTTGGAGGCCACCTGAACTGAATAACCATGTGCTCCTGAGGTGGACTTTTCTCTACACGACGAGCACGTCATGTGAGGCCACCATGCACACATATATCCTCATGGACATTGAGAAAAAAGTCTCAGCTCGCGATTAATTAATGGTCGATGCAATCTAACACAGGATCAGTATGTGTACTTTGCACAGGAGCAAGTTGTACTACAAACTGCAGTACATAACCATGAAGTAACCTGTACCGATGAGCCTGCGTAATCCGTGACATGGCAGCTATGACAGCTCCGAGTACGCGTAATCAGCAACGCAAGTTAGACGTGATTTTTCAAATGATAAACAATCTGAAGAATTGAGACTGGTGACGTTTTGTACACCGAAACAAAGCATGCGGTCACCACTATCCTATCCAGTAACCTCGTTCCACACCGAAACAGGGCCTGGTTCGTAGTTACCCGTGTTTTGTCTTTTCTTTATGTGTTTGCAGTTTCATCAGGCCCACAGGCAGGTACATTGGCTGATCCGAGATTGCACTGGCACCGCATCATTGACATCAGCAAGCGACAGTGCTAACTTCTCTCGGAAAATAAAAGTGACTTCGGTTTGCTAGATTGATCAAAAGAGGCCAAGTCTGTTAACACTTAGGTAATATTTAGTACAACATATAAGGCCGGTCTCGGTGGTGAATTTCATCGCATTATTACCAAGACTATGTGTCACGTCAGTTTTTTATTGGTACTGTAGGAACAGGTTTTATTTAGATACATTTTTTTGAAACTCTCCTTTTCTCTCTTCATAATTAACTTGCCACACCAAATCTGCTGATGTGTCATTGTATTAAATGCAAATAAAACCTATATCATGCTTAGGCCAGTCACAGTAAGAAATTTCATGGTGTTATTTTCAAGTCGTATAGAATGAATGAAACATGGATCAAACGCCCGCTCTTAGGCCTTGTTTGGATGCATGTGTATCCACTTCAATCCACAT